GAGCCGCTCTGAATTCAGTACTGGCTGAGGTCCTTCTTTGATTTTACTTCTCAGAGCAGGATTTTTAACAAAATGCTTCCTAGAAAGCAGATGAGGAGGAGAGGAGGAGGAAAAAGAAGAGGAAGAAGAGGAAGAGGAAGAGGAAGAGGAGGAGGAGGAGGAGGAGGAAGAGGAGGAAGAGGAGGAAGAGGAAGAGGAGGAGGAGGAGAAGGAGAAGAAGAAGAAGAAAAAGATGAAGAAGATGAAGAAGACAAGAGACCTGTTGGAATAATCAGAATTCATGTACCAGACCAATAAACTAGCGGAAAGGCAAACCGCTCATAAAAAAACCCGAAACTTTTGCTTTATAGCTCAATCCTTTGTTTATTTCCCCTTAGGAAAAGGTCCCCTCGTGGGTCTATGAAGGTTTCTGCCAAAGGCAAATACATTTAAGGTGGCATCTTTAATTGGCTGCTTGTTCAGCATAGTTTTCCCCAGGGAGTGATTCTTTTCCAGTGTGAGCCACAGAAATTGCATCAACGTTTTCCTTTTCAGTTCCTTAAAGTTACACTTTCTATTAAGTCGTTTGCACAGGCTGTTGTTGTGCAGTTTTCATCTGGGCTGTCTTCCCCAGAAGGTCAGGTTCTACTGGAGCAAGTGAGACCAGTTTTCCCCGAGGAGGAGCGTCTTCTCAAACACGTTGGGCTTTACTTTTCACAATCTCTAACCAGCATGTGAGTTGAAGCCCCAAATAAAGCTGGTAGGTAGGGTGCTTTGATAGTTCCACCTTTCCCCACTAAACTTCAGGGAGCGGGGTTCCAAAATTTCTTGGGATATCGTCATTCACCTTCAAGTTTTCCCAGGGGCCGCTCAGCGCTCCTAAAGTGCCAGGCCTGTTTTGGGTTGTTTTGTTTTTGCTTTTTAACCTAGCTCAGAACTGCTTGCTTCCCTGCCTCCTTTTGTTCGACCCTCAAGGCCTACCCCTGCTTCTCCTGCTCCTTATGTTTTCGTTAGCATGGGAAAAGATCTGGGTCGAGGAGGAGATGGTCTGACTTCATTGGCCTTCCCAAGCCAAGTTGTCTCCAGGTTTAAAAAGCCAGCCTAGAAAAATTCAACAAGCCTGGATGTGGTGTCCATTTTTCACTCTTCAAATTTTGAGGAAAAGAAAACCCTCTTCTTGCCAACCCCCTCCCTTCCTCCATTTCCGCTCCTCTTTTTTCCTTTACCTCCAATTATTCCATTATTCTGTACCTGAAATTAATCTTTTTGCCAGGCAGGTCAGCGCGATCGACAGGCTGTTGTTTATTACAACGTCTCTCTCCACCCCCCCACCCCCCCAGCGCGCGCCCCGTTGGTCTCGGCTCCCCTCGCCCCGACTGACTGTGGATGTGACCTTTGTTATTTCAGCCTCCACTCAGCAGTTCAGTGGAAACAACTTGAGCACGTTCAACCCTGATAAACATTATCCTTCAACCACTGGGGACCTGAGCAGAGTAAACGAGCGTTTCCGACAGAATCACATCAGGAACACACATTGAGAAGAAGAAAAAAAAGGCCCGAGAATCAGAGGCAGAGACGGGGAGGTGGAGCTGCTAGGGGAAGAGAGGAGAGGGAGCTGCAAGTTGGAAGGGAAAGGAGCCAGAGGCGGAGCGGAGCCCCCCCCCCACTCCCCCCCCCCCCAAAAAAGTAAGCTCCGACCCGACAATAGTCTCAAAGATGCTGGAGGCACGGCGAGAACCCGGGTTGGCTGGGAATCAGGATCTAAAGAGATCAGGATCTAAAGTGGGACAGGACTGAAAGTAAAAGTCGAGTCTCGTGGGATGTTCAGATTCCCAGAAATCCCTTGTCTTCTGACCTACCCAGGACCGCATCGCCCAAGACTGGTATTCTACCAGACGGCTGAAGTTTCTGGAGAGTTCTTTTTGGTGTCAGTTTCAAATCTAAACAATTTGGGCTTTTAAAACAGAATGAATTGCAAAGATTCGCTGTCGGTGCGCAGACCTCAATCCTAGCCGAAGTTATAACCCAGGCCAAGGGGGTTGGACGGAGCTTGCTCTTGTGGGCCTGCCGCCTGAACTTGAAAGGAATCGCTGGTAATCCAGCGACCTAAATTCGTCGAAAAGATGAACAGGAGCGGCTGAGAATGATTAAGACCCCAGCATCCCCTCCACCCATCCCAGTCCCATTGGTAAAGCCTCTCCAGTTCTTAACTCCCCCAAAAGAGTCCGAAAGAGTGCGAGAGAAGAAAGGGGGGCGGGTCCGGTGGTGAGAAAATCGGGGGGTCTTGACCAGAAGCTCCGGAGCGTTTATCCGGGAGGAAAGGGATCAAGGTCGACAGCGCCAGCCGGACCTCACGAGCGCCAAGGTCAAAGAGCTTCACCCCTGGCCGACTTGAGTGGGAGTGCTACGGGGGGGGGACGGGGGGGGGCTCGGCCCCTCTGACACAACCGGTTCAGGCGAAACGTGAGAATTTCAAGGTGTTTCAGCGGTTCTCAACAGGACAAGCAGCTGCCAAATTTATGCTGAAGGGCGCCGGGCGTCACCCGACTGGCTGAACCAACCTTCCTCGATTTGATTCTAAATCTATTAATTAGAATTAAATCATTTTTCAAAGGCTTTTTTTTTTTTTGAGTCTTGAGTCCCCGGCGGACTTACTTCCACTTGATGGATTGAAAGAATGAAGAAGAGGGAAACCACTCTCCCACCCGCTCCCCACGTGGCTGGTTGTAGAGCGGACTCTGGTATTAGGTGTTGACTCGGGTTTTGCTGTTAAATGGCAATATTCAATCGATGTTCAAGACAGCATAATTTAGTGCGTTACCCAGAAACTTCGCAATGAGATAATTGTCCTTTCCCAATCGGAAGGAATTTCCCAAGCGATGTAATTGCCAGAAAACAAGGTTAACTCCTTCATAAAAAAACAAACAAACCTTGTTGCTGCTTCAAAGGCAAATCGCTTTGTTACATTTCCACTCCCCAAACCCCAAATCCCGGGGCCCATTGCAATTATTTTATAAGGTCCTTGGACCTGTTTAAAAGTGGGATTGCGTTTTGTACAGTTCTATTTTCTGAGCACGAAGTAAATCGCTCCGATTGGAATAGGAGCGCTAGTCTGTAAGCCGTCTCAACCCTCGTTTCTGAGCGCAACTTTGGCATTCCCCATTGGCTCTTATGCAATATTCCCAGCCTGAGTTTTGAATCAGTTTCTCTCCCCTGGAGGCAGAGATCCCCCCCCCCGTTTTAATTCCTCCCAAAGCGAGGTCCCTTCGTTTTTAGGGACCCCAATCATTCCCGTTAAGCGCGTCGCATGCCGATTTCAAGCGCTGGCTACTCTCCCAATCCTAAAACCATCGGGGTAGGGCAGGGTCGCTTTGTGGCAGCAGTTTTGTCCCCCAAAGGAGCCTTACACTTGGAAAGCGGCCTTGATGGGAATTGCCCCCCACCCTTTCACTTTTCTTGATGGGAGTTTTTTTAGTCCTCGGCCGTTCACGCTTCGACCTAATGTTTCAGACGATACTAGCCACCCGGCTCTTAAGCACGTTCTTTGACGAAAAAGCGGCTAAAGGATCTGGTGGCGGATCGGTTCTCCCCTTAACTTGGAAAGTCCAGAAAACATGTCCGAGCGGGGGATGTGTCTGTGCAAGTGCCAATACCCTGCGCGCTATCCCGACCCACATCTAACTTCGCAAAGATCCCATAGCTGAGCTCAAAAGTTTAAAAGGCAAAGAAGCTTTTACTACCCTGTTTAGGTTTTCATGCTGGGTGGGTGGAAGGTTGCAACCCAGGCCCATCTTAAGAGGAGATCGTTACAAGTGGACAAGACGCCTCGTTCTTGGATCATGCACAATACCCCCGGAGCTACGAGTGCGTAAGAGACCACCCCCCACGCAACCCCCACCCCCACCCCTAGTAAAGTGCCATTGTGTTCTTTGGGCGAGGTTGATTTCTTCTAAAGGTTTTCATCGGCTGCGGTCCGAATGACGCAAACAAGAAGCCATTCCATTAAAATCCATTTACATTCATCGTCCCGTCTTTCGTGGGGCAGGAAAAGCGCGCTTGTTTGTGGCCTTGCTTGTGTTGCAAAAGTTGACACACATTTGCGTGATCAACTTTATTTGTGGATGAACAATCGAGGTGTCCGATTTCTGGCATCCTAAACTCGACTGGTTTCCATCAACACCGGCTTCTCTGCTAGCGTTCTTTTGGGTCTAGATCTCTTGCTTTCTTTTTTTTTTTACAGTTGCTGCTGCTATACTAGCGATAAATAATGCCAGGCGGAAATAGAGCAGTGTTTTTTGGGGGGAGAAATACAAAAAGAAGCTTTTCTAAAATGGGAAAATATGATTTCCCTGGAAATATTATTTCTGTTTCTAAAATGAGGAACGAAACCACCCCTCGCCCAGGGTCAGTGTGTCTTCCTGAAAGTTTAATTCGACGCCTAACTACTGGCGCTGAAAGCAGAACGAAGGTGAGTCCCTTTAATGAAAATAAAACCGCTTTCAGCGGTTATTCAACCTGTTAATACATTTTCCACGTTCTGCTATTAGATTTCCTCTGACTTTATGGCTTCCCGCGACTCAGCTTTCCCATCTCTGGTGCGCTGCCGTTGCATATGGATCCCAGGTGCTGATCCAGCTTGCCTGCAAAAAGCGAACGGAAGCCCCTTCCAGGGCGAGACTGTCTGTCACTCTTGCCTACCAATCCGGGGGGTGCGTTTCCTTTTAGGTCCACCTTCCAAGGGGCGTGTCTTTGGTGAGTGATAGCCTGAGACGCCCCAACCGACCCAGCCCAGCCCACGTTGCTGCGAGATTGAAATGCGGGACTTCAGTCTCCTGCCTCGGAAAAGTGCCTTCCTTGGGGTCCTTTTTCTTGACATTCTCGCCTTTTCCCGCGGTAGGAACCCGAGCGAGCCGGGGCCTTCTCCGGAGCCGATCCCGGCGAGCCGGGCAAGACCCATCCCACGCCGAGTTTCCTCCGGGGATCTCCTGCTCCCTCACCCTGCTCGGAGTCCGGAGTCAAACCATGGGTAAGTGTGGCTGCAGAAGCATCGGAGGCTCGGGGTGGGTGGGTGGGGGGTGTTAAGACGGGCGCGGGAGGGCAATCCGGTGGCTCAAAACTCCCACGGGCGCCCGGCTGGTTTGGCTTGTGGCTCCGACTCTGGTTGGGGACGAGGCGTTGGAGAAGCAACGGCGACAGTGACGGCAGTCTCAGAAGCGCCAGTGCTGGAGAAAGAGAGCCCAAAGTATTGGGGCGGGGGAGGGGGAGGGCATCTGATCGACCCCAGGCTTCTGGAACCCCGGTCTCTCTCTCTCCCTCTCTCCCTCTCCCCCCCCCCTTCTCCCCTGGAAAGTTGTTTGTATTTCGGGGGGGGAAGCTTTCCTGGCTGACGGGGGGGGGGCGGCGGGGGGAGATCGGGGGCCGCTTCCCACTTCTCTGCGGTGTTATTTAACTCTCCCGGCTGCCTGTTACAGGCACTCGGCTTTTCTAGCCCAGCTAGAAAAGCGAGTCAACGCGCCACCTCCAGAGGAGAAGGAAGCTGGGCGCCCCAACGGCGTTGACGAAGCAATCCGCTTCGTTTTTAACTGGACTGCTTTCCAAGGGACGCCTCCCCCCCCCCCCCCAATCATCCCGCGAGTGACTCCGGATGAACTGTCTGGAGTGGCTTCCTCTCGAATGCGGGCAATGTGGGGGGGACTCGGGGCCCTACGAGGCTGGGCAAGAGGTCGGTAGGGATACTACCGCCAGTGGCTGCTGTCCGAAACCTCCTGCGCCTTGCCGGTTGCGCTCAGGGAGGAAGTCGCTCGGTCTATTCAAGGGCCGACTAAGAAGCCTGCAAGGACGAAACTCCTTAAGGCGGGCAGCTCTTAGCTAGGTGCGCCCTTACTAGGAATCAAAAGGCCGCGGATCTCGGCCGAACTGGCTTCCCAGGCAGCGGCGAGCAGCCCAGCCTTCCCTGGGAAGGAGACGCGCCGCGAGCGTTTGAAGCCAAGCCCGATGTCCCTCCCTTCCTTGCCCTTGTTCCCGGGTGGTTGCGTCCAGCTCAGCCTCGCCAGAATCCGGCCGCCTCTTCCAACGTGCCGCTGCTTCTCTTTGTTTGCAGAGCCAGCCTTCGGAGAGGTCAACCAGCTTGGCGGGGTCTTCGTCAACGGCCGCCCTTTGCCCAACGCCATCCGGCTTCGGATTGTGGAACTAGCTCAACTGGGCATCCGACCGTGCGACATCAGCCGGCAGCTGCGCGTCTCCCACGGCTGCGTCAGCAAGATCTTGGCGCGCTACAATGAGACCGGCTCCATCTTACCCGGGGCCATCGGAGGTAGCAAGCCGCGGGTCACCACGCCAACGGTAGTCAAGCACATCCGGACTTACAAACAAAGGGATCCGGGCATTTTTGCTTGGGAGATCCGGGACCGGCTGCTGGCCGACGGCGTGTGCGACAAGTACAACGTCCCTTCGGTCAGTTCCATTAGCCGGATTCTGCGCAACAAGATTGGAAACCTTTCTCAGCAGAATCACTACGAGCCTTACAAGCAGCACCAGGCAGCTCCGCAGCCGGCCCTGCCTTACAATCACATCTACTCTTATCCCAGCCCCATCGCTGCAGCAGGTGCCAAGGTGCCTACCCCCCCTGGCGTGCCACCGATCCACAGCGCCGTCCATATGCCTCGGACCTGGCCCTCCTCTCATTCCGTCACTGACATCTTGGGAATTAGGTCCATCACAGATCAAGGTAAGACGATCAGACTTCCAGCCAGGGACAGGATTGGACAACCAAACCGTAAGAAGCCCACCCCTTGCAGAGGGTCTATGCGGTCTGTTGGGTGGGCTGGAAGAGGGGCGGGGGAAATGGGTTCCTGGTGGCCCCTTTGCTGACTAGCCACTTCTGTAGCTTCAGAAAATGTCTAGTGTATTTTCATTAAGGGGTAGAGATTCAGAAAAGGACACGAATTTGCTTTTGTTGAAGATCATCAATAACTTTCCTTCCCCGGTCTTTAACTGATGAGCTTTGAAGGAAGCCCCGAGTTATAGCATTGTATAGCTATATATACCCAGCTGTTGTGCTAATATAAAGTCTGTCTTCATGGACAGTGTTGGAAGATACTATAAATGCTATATAAATCATTTAGGTAGTAATGGCCTAGGTCAGGGGTCCCCAAAGTTAGCAACTTTAAGACTGGTGGATTCCAACTCCCAGAATTCTGGGAGTTGCAGTCCACAAGTCTTAAAGTTGCCGAGTTTGGAGACCTCTGGCCTAGGTGGAACTTGGTTCTAAATAAATTTCGTCTCTCTTTGAACTAGTGGTATTTTTCACTTAGCTGCAGGGCCTTCCCCTTTTAAAGGGATCCTAAGAATATAAGCAGAGTCCCTTTGGATCAAACCCCAGCAGTGAGTGTGCTCTCACACTGGGCAACCAGCTGCTCAAGGAAGCCCAGCAGATGGCCTTCAAACACAGTCACATTTGCCATCGAGGCTAACAGCCATGGATCCCCAATATGTGACAACGTGTCTCAAGTTTTATGCATTTGATATGTTTTAGTAAAGATGTTTGGCTGAACTTTCTGGTGGTCAGGGCTTTATTTGCGCAGGCTTTCTTATCTGGGACTGAGAGCCCTGTGGAATTTCATAATTGAACAACAATCTGTTCCCAAATAGGTTTCTCTCTGAGAAGCTTTACATTTAATTTTAAAGGAGATATAAATGAAACCGAAAAGAAATACAATATTTTCTTCCAATAAAACATTTTCATGGTAACCCATTATTTTGGAAGCAGATATGATAAAAAAAATATGACTTTGTTTATATGATGGCACTAACCAAGATGTTGGCAATATTTAGACCATGTGGATATTATCAGTTTGGGGAGCACTGTTGTTTATAGTGAAGCTCTTGTAAGTCTCTAGAAGATGAACACATCACTGTGCTGAGACAGAAGCATTTATTAAAGATGGGAGGGAAAATGTCCTTGCACATTTATTACATATACATAAGCACACAACATGCACACGCAAATCTAGGGAAGGTATAAGCACACTTCTCCAATTTAACTGAGCTAACTAAAATCAAAGCAGCAAAGTTACATGAGCCCACAGAGACATGCCCAAGAAGCTTTCAGATTTATTTACCTGCACTTATCCACATTTTGAAATAAAATCAACTCAACTCAAAAGGCAAGTTCCAATACTTGGCACACTTTCTGTGAATCGGTTGTGTTGATCTTGACTGGCTTTAACATCTGTGTAAACAGTGTTGCTGATGCATCTCATTGCTGGATTAGTTTGCAAGTACCTCATATACTGGCTACCGCATCTAAGTATGGCTAAAAAGATAATTGCTGAATGAGTTGGGAAAAGAATAACTTCCTGTGTTACTATGTTCTTATAGGTATGAAAAAGAGAAGTAACTAGTAATGATGTCAAATTATATAACAACCTGTTAAAACATTAAAGAATCCCATCGCTTTTTAAAACACTTATCAGTTTTATTGTGTTTGTGAATTAGAGAGGTCTCTTAAGTGAAAGGGTGCCTTTCCAAGGCATACGTGTGTGTGCATGCATGTAGGTACACACACACATACAATAAACATGTACATATCAAATAACCACACAATTTATTACAGAGAGGAACAAACAAGCTAACCTTTTCATGGCCAAATTCTTTTGGCTACCAGAAGAGATCAGCATACCTAAGCAACAGAAACACACATAATCCCTGTTCGGGTATATTTACTTTTTTCTCTGCCAGGCTTTTGTCCTTGATATTTGCTCTCAAGTCAGAGCTTCTGTGGCAAAGGCACTTCCTCGGAATTGCAGGCAAGTCTTTCTCGAGTTCTCGCAATCAGGGCAAATTTGCTCAGACAGGAAGTTCAAATGTCACCTAATTGCTTTCGTTCTCCTGCTTCACTTTGTTGTGCTCCGAAGCGGTGGTCCAGAAAACTGAAACTGCCTATGTTTAACTTGCGTTTAAGCCCCTTTCCGAGGCCCGCCCGCCTCTCCCGACTTTGCTGCGGAATTCCAGACGGGCAGTTAGGAAGGCTTAGCGGGGTTGGCCGGAGCGGAGAGTGCCCTGCAATATAGGCATGGATGGATACTCGTGTTAAGGCCTCGACTGTGCAATTCCAGAGATCCGAACCCACTTAAATTTCAGAAAATGTGAAAGCGGGCGAGATAAATACAGTTGTCCACTTACATTAAATGCTGGCTTGCAACACATACACACAGACACACAGACCCCACGTTTGGGCGAGAAACACAGTAGTGGTGTGTGCTCACACAAACAACTTTCAAAGTTTGCAACGCACATGCTTTATTATTGCCAATGGAAGAAGCCTCCGTTTCCAAATCCTTTTTGACTGAGTATCGCATAAAAATGTCTCGGGCTGCACAATTCCCTTTCCCAGGGCGCTGCTCGCAAGCGTCCCCTGCCTCTTGGTCCGGCGGCGTGGCGGGAACATCTGCTGGGATCGTTGTGCACAGAGGGCGCACGGGAGGCGGGGGGGGGGGGGGCAATGCGGGCGGCCGGAGAAGCAGCGCGAGCTGGCCTGATTTCCGTGTTCATTAACCACCACCCCGCACTGGGTCGAGGCCACCTCTCTGGGTAGGAGGCCCGCGAACGGTGTGTGTGTGTTGGGGGGGAGATGCATTGGGTCTGTCTCCGAGCTCGGCTCTCCCCCCGCCACGTCTCCCGCCTCTGCTGCGCGAAGCTTGACCCGAGGCTGATCGGCTTTGATTTATTGGTTAAGTTGACCTTGCTGCCACCGAAAGGAAGCCCTATTCGTGGGGAAGAGTGGTCGCCAGAGACGGCTCTTCCCAGGCAGGCTCCGGCCTGGGCCTGCCACACCACTCGGCCGCGAACCGACGGAAAACGCGGCTGGCTGCCCGAGCCTCAAGAGTTGGTTGGCGTTTGCCTGGCAGGCCTTCCGATCTCGGCTTGAACCGTCTGTTCTGGGCCTCTCAAAAAGGCTTCTCCCTCCCGGCTGCCTACAGCTCCGACCACCCAGTCCAGGCTTCGCAGAGGTGGTTAAGTCCCACTGCCCTTGGGCTGCGTAGCCTTCTGGATCCCGCCGGGTGAAGGGTCATCCTGGATCGCCTGAAACTCGGAGGACCTTCCTTCCTCTCCCGCCTTACAGCCGCTGCTGGCTCCTGCTTGAGACGCAGCCCATTGGTTTCAACGGAATCTCCCGTCCTATTCGTGAAAGAGAGCAGTGCCTTTGGAAGATAGATCACCCTGCGGTAGTAGCTGTATGTCCGTGTCAGCGTGCATCCGTGCGTGTGTGAACAGCCTGCGTTTGCACGCACACGTTGCAGGTCAGAGAGAGAGAGTTTCAGAACAAGAGTCAATTCCGGGAATGGCTTCAAAGAGAGACGTCTTTCCTGCTGCATTTCTACTTCTCCCGCCCTCAAGAATATTTTTATTTTTAAAAACATTCTTTTATTTGAGAAATAATGGTGGCACTAGTCAGAAGAACTGCCCGCTGGTTGTTGGCAGCACGAGAAGAGGAGGCCAGTTTCAACCCGCGTTGGGTAGTATTTTAATCCTGTCGCCTTTTCCTCTTTTCGTGCTAGGAGGAAGTAAGTGGGAACTGTGGGAAAGAAACAGAGATGCTGGAAAGTGCGCAGCAGGCGGCAGGCCAGCTCTTCTCTTTGAGCTTTTTTAGGATTATCCGCAATAAATTTAATTTCGGTGCATAACGTGATTAGGCTCCAGTTGTTTGAAAGTCTCTGTAGGCTTCTGTCTTCCTTTGCATGTTATAAATTCAACTACTCCATAGACTAAAATTTCCCTCCGCCTATGCCAGGTGGACCTCCTAAACTCACTTGAACTGAACTGGAAAAAGCCAAGCCAGGCATGAAACCACAGTCTCTGTAAGGGTGTAAAGGAGATACGTTTTTCAGGGATATTCCCCTCCAACTGCTTTTATTAGAGGTATTTGGAGAAGAACAGAATTGCAGAGTTGGAAGGGCCTTGCAAGATTGTCTAACCTAGTACAACCTCTAGGCAAAGTCTCTTGTCCAGTCTCTTCTTAAAAACTTCTAGTGATGGAACATCCACAACTTCTGAAGGCAAGTTACACTGATTAATTGTTCTGATCAGGAAATTCCTTCTTAGTTTTAGTTCTGAATTTCTCCATGATAAGTTTCCTTCAGCTACTTCTTGTCCTGTGTTCAGGTGCTTTGGGGAAAATCACCCCCCCCAACTTTTCTGAAAATTCAGGGCAGGAATGCCGGCAGAAATATGGTGGATTCCTGCGGAGGAATACTTGAACAATTTCCCCAACTCTCCTTGATCCTCCTGGTAGCTTTGGAGGCCTTGCAAAAAAAGAATTTTTTTTTAAAAAAAACGCCCCATAGGTGGCAGGCGGATATGCTATATTAGGGGAAAATAACTTCCTGTCCCTTCCATTGAAGGAAATGGGAATTGTACATATATACAGAGAGCAGTTAGGTGATTAAGCCCAGGTGGCCAATGGGTGGTATTTAGACATTAAACTGAATCAAATTTAGCTTCTCGGGGCAAGAATTCAATTCACCTGAATTTTTTGGAGAGACGAGAAAAAGCAGGCCAGCCTAGCTTCCCCACCAAACTAATGAAAAACTACACGCCTCCCACTCCCACTGCACGTACCCAAAGCTAAGCGACTGGAGATTTTAATTGTTTTAAAACATGCCTACATTTAAGAACATGCAAGTCATTTAAAACAAAAACAAAAAAAACGAAAAACCCAGCCACGATCAAATTCCCATCCGGGAGCATTAGCGCGTTTTTAAAGCTTCCTTGGGTTTCAAAGGATAAAGCGGAAAAATGAAGAATTTGTATGGGGGGGGGGGAGTTTGGAATTGAAACCTCTAAGTAGGAGACCTGCTGGAAGCGGCCTTATGGACCTGGCTTATGGGATGAATTACCCCGAGTCCTGGGGTGAGAAGGATGAAGCCCAAAGCTCTGAAACTGGGCTTCGCGGGCGTTAATGAGAGCACAGAATCCCACCCTCGGAGTCTGTCCGTTTTAGGGGTTTTTTGGGGGGGGGGACGACGACGACGACGCGGGGAGGGCGTGCAGGCTGGCGGCCGGCGGGATTGTCTTGAGATTTTCTTTGATTGACCCTCAGCACCCCCTCTTCCCAGCACAAAATATTCCCTTTCGGAAGGGATGTAGTTCGGGTTCAAGGACTGATTGAAACTCAAAGGGGGCGCTTCTGTTCAGAATGCCTCTCCTTTTCTCTCTCACGCAGGCCGTAACCCCTTTTCGTTTCATCTGCGGAAGGAGGGACGTTTTTATGGCTGGTCACCGCAAGCAGCAACCTTTGCCTGTCTACTTCAAGTCGCTTTAGGGATATCTCAGTCAACCAGCTGCCCTCAGACTTCAGAATTACCTGCTATTATTTTCTTTGTGCGCTATTTGTACCTATATTCGGGTTTCTTTTTTTAAAAAAAAATGAGTGGAATCAGCGCTTTATAATTTTAAAGTTCAGTAAAATCGATTTACTTAAGGATATCCCAGCTGTAGTTGTAACCCACTTGAGATCCGAGGTACCTAAGGTCACTTCCAAAACCACTACTGTAATGAAACAAATCCCACCGAAGCTATAATCTTACTTAAATAGGTTTAAGTTTCGCTGAAATTAGTAGGATTCACTTTTGACGAAAAGGGTTTTTTTTTCTTCTTCTTCAGTGATTCAGTCCTCCAGTTCCTGGAAAGTCATTTCCCACTAGTGATTTTTTGAAGACTTACGAAGGGCTCAATCAGTCGCTCTTTTGATCTAACAGTAATGGAGACAGCGTGGAGTGCCGCTATAAATCACCAGTGAGGAAATGGCCGGATTCTCTGGAAGTGTCTTTTGTTGAACCGCAACGGTTTACTTCAAAGCAAGCATGAGAGTCCGGTTGCACGTGTGAATGGGGTTACAGACCCAATCGAAACTATTGAGTTATTCGTGACTCTCCAAAACTCTGATCCTCGACACATTATTTCATTTAGACAGCAGCCTCAAGCAAAATTAGTTTCATAGTGGACAAAAGTTCAGGCGGGAGGAGTAGAGTTCCGAAGGAGAACTAAAGTTTTCTTTCTTTCTTTCTTTCTTTCTTTCTTTCTTTCTTTCTTTCTTTCTTTCTTTCTTTCTTTCTTTCTTTCTTTTTCTTTCTCTCTCTCTCTCTCTCTCTCTCTCTCTCTCTCTCTCTCTCTCTCCCTCCCTCCCTCCCTCCCCTCTCTCGTCTAATCCACCCGTTGAAAAGTGTCCTTGGCCACCTCGGAGTCTCCTTTTCCCACCAGGATTTTTTCAGTGCTGCAAACCTGGTTCGAAGGAGATGGCCTCGGAACTGCAGTGCATCCAGAAAATATCCAGGGCCCTTTCACTTTCGTCAATTTTATTATGCTTCAGCCTGATTCTACAGTTGTTGAAATCCATTCTTCTCATTAATCTACTCTCAGTACCCCATAACGACAAAGTGAAAACATAATTTTAGAAATGTCTGTACATTTATTAAAGAGGAAAAAAAACCCTGAAATATCATTTTGGCATAAGTATTCAGACCCTTCCCTTTGGCAACGATTACAGGCTTGAGTCTTTTGGGGGATGATGGGACAAGCTTCGCCCACCTGGATTGGGGTGATTTCCTGCTATTTTTCTGTGCAAATCCTCTCAAGCTCAGCTGCCACCAGCTCCCTCCAGAGATGTTCAGTAGGGTTCAAGTCAGGGCTCTAGTAGGACATTCACAGAGTTGTCCCTAAAGAACTCCTGTGCTGTGTTGGCTGCGTGCTTGTCATGTTGGAAAGTGAACTTTTTGGCCCAGTCTGAGGTCATGAGCGCTATGGGACAGGTTTTCACTGAGGATATCACTGTGCTTTGCTCTTGTCAGCTTTCCCACCCCCCTGACCAGTCTTCCCAGTCTCTGCTGCTGAAAAACACCCCCCCCCCTCAAAAACATGATGCTGCCACCACCATACTTCACTGTTGGGGTGATATTGGGCCGATGATGAGGGGTGCCTGGTTTCCTCCAGACATAATGTTTAGAATTGAGGCCAAACTGTTCAATCTTGGTTTCATCAGACCAGAGAATTTTGTTCCTCACAGTATGAGTGTCTTTCAGGTGCTCCCCCCCCCCCCCCCCCCCCCCCAAATTGCTCAATTTGACAGGCTGATCAGCTCTTCAAAGAGTCCTGGTTGTGCCAAACCTCTTCCATTTAAGAATGATGGAGGACGCGGTGCTTTTAGGAACCTTCAGTAACAGCGGAAATTTTATGGTAGCCATTCCAAGATTTGTGCCTTGCTATAACCCTGCCTCTGAGCTCTGCAGGCAGTTCCTTAGACCTCACTCTCATATCTTCCGCTACAGTAGGCATCAGTCAGCTGTGAGCCCTTCTACAGAGAGGTGTGTGCTTTTCCAAATCGTGTCCGATCAATTTAATTTACTACAGGTCAACTCTGAGCAAGGTGTGGAAACATGTCCGCAACAATCAAGAGGAAGGGGAGGCACCGGAACTAAATTTCAAGGGTTGTTGCAAAGGGCCTGAATGTGACATTTCAGGTTTTTTTTTCCTTTTTAATTAATTTACGGACGTTTCTTAACTTCCGTTTTTTTACTTGGGGGGGGGGTTACTGAGTGTGGTTTAATGAGACCAAGAAATGAATTTCCACAACTGTAGAATCAGGCAGCAGCATGGCAAAACTAACAAAAGTGAAGGGTGTGTGTGTGTGTGTTTCTGAATACTTTCTGAAGGCACCGAACATCTTATTGATCCCAAGGATCAAGCAAGCGGGATCCCGAGAGAAGCCGGACGTCGAAGCTGGCAGGCTAAAGGCTCGGCTTAGAAAGGCATTGACCTCCAAGGCAAGGCAGGCAGGGCTGGCTGTCAGGGCCCCTCCCTCGGGAAAGCTCCCCAGGGCAAGCCAGGTCTCCCGTCCTCCGCGCTTAAGGTTTCCCCTGGTTTGGCTCCAGGGAGAAGGCTCGCTTCGGAGCGACTAGGGCGAGAGAGGAAAGCCGCGCCCCTCACTCCGCTTTGTCGTGTGTTTGCCCGCAGTGAGCGACAGCTCGCCCTATCACAGCCCCAAGGTGGAAGAGTGGAGCAGCCTGAGCAGAAGCGGCTTCACGGGCCAGCACGTTGCGGTGAACGGGCTGGACAAGGGCTCCCTGGAGCACGAGACCAAGTACAGCCAGGTAAGGGGGCGACTGCCTGGGAGGAGGACGGAGGGGGTTGCACGTCCTGGCGGGGCCGGGGGCGGGGGGCGTGGGGACGTGGAAAGAGGAGGGTGGGGGGCGCGCTTGCTTCCGGGGGCGGGGGGTCTGTCTGAAGGAACTTGCTTTTGAGGAGGAGCGCCACACTAAGCCAACTTGCCCGGCTAAAAGACGCGTGTTTGTATCTGGGGAGGGGAGAATTGAAACCAGAGCCTCCTCCGTTGATCTATTCTGGCTCTGGGTGAGCTCCAAACAGGACCCCTCCTCCCGGTTGGGCTTACGCAAAGAGCTTAACGTCCTTCAACACGTCGGTTTAGTTACTCTTTGCATTGACAGAGGTCCCGTGTGGCCGAGGCTGGGAAGTCGTGTGGATCCGGAAAATCCGGAGATCGTGTTAAGCGTATTGTATTAATGCAGCCAGTAAAACTAAAAGGGTCCCATCCCCTCCGCAGACTGTTCTGTAATGGGATTTTATCAGTTGCGCTTCCCCATTCTCCCCCTTCTGCCATTATTATTATTATTATTATTTTGGTGCAGCAACCCTACATTGCTGAACGCAATGTAGGCTTTAGCAAGTCTCTGGTTTTTCAGATGTCTTTTATCAGGCTTGTATTTTAAACCCGTTTCCGCAAAGGAGCAAGAGTTTAACCAGATTGTTTGGTCCTGGCTCTAATCTGGGTATGTAGTGCAGTTTGCTCAGAATCGTGTCATTTGATGGGTTTGCACAACGTGTTGGCTAAACCAGGGCTCTCCAACCTTGGCAACATTAAGGCCTGTGGACTTCAACTCCCAGAGTTCCTCAGCCAGCAAAGCTGGGTGTTGAAGTCCACTGGTCTTAAAGTTGCCAAGGTTGGAGACCCCTGAGCTAAACTGTGGTTGTTTAACTTTGTGACATGATGGTTAGTTTATAGTTCAATATCTTGTCCCAATCAAATGTGATTTAATTCAGTTAGTCACTATGTGCATTGTGGGAACTCTATCTCTGTTTCTACTCCCAGGTAGGCCTAGGTAGCAGTCATCTGGGGATAACTTCCTCAGCTGACGGGGCTTTCTTTCCAGGTGATGTGTTCCAAAGCTACAGTTTACCTGGGGTCAATTTGTTAGGGGTCAAAATCAGAAGAAATGCGCAAGAGTCATCCCTGCATGTTTGTGGTCCTTGCCCATTGACAGGAAGTGACAGGACTTGAATGTTGCTGGCAAGGTTGCTTTCCCTGTTTGCCCAACAGGGATGCATGCCCAACTTGACTGGCTTTCAGAATCAACCCAGAACCAAATATCTAGGCAAAAGGAGGACTATCCGCACATAATTAAGGGTGATGCTTGCTATTGTTGGGCCAAAGCTGCCAATGTCATTTTATTGGTGAAGGAATAACACAGTTGGACTACTGGTAAATCCTTGCAATGACCCTTGGAAGAGGCCAATAGAAAAGAGTATATGTTATATAGCTCACGGTTGAACTGTGCAGTTTTTGGTGCTCTCTGAGCATGGTTGTTTGCTTGCAATGTTTCATTAACAGACAGCAAGCCCCTCTAGCATGGAAGACATTACATGGTCTGGAAACATCTGGAAGCAAACAACCAAACTCAAAGAGCACCAAAGATTTGATTCTGGAGAAGGTCAGATCTCTGCGCCTCCAGCTGGTAAGTTCCAAGTTGCTCTACCATGAAAGTGAAGCTGTTCTGAGATCTACAGCTGGGAGGGGACTGCTGAAAGGACGTGTTTCTCGAATTGGGAAACCCAGGGTTGGGTTGATCAAACCAGAGATGGGGTAGCTCCTTGGTTATTTGGCCCAGAGGTTCACCAGTTTTTGGCCCAGGGGTGCTGTGACAGGCCCATGTGACCAGTCATTTCTTTGTCAGGTCTTAGTCCAGACAAGCAGCTGCTTTTCCAGACCTGACAATTTGGAGACCAGCACAGGACTTCACTTGACACATTCAGGGAATTATTGAAAAGCCTGTTTAGATTGATAGACCCAAATGCCTACTCGGGGCAGCAATACAGATTAAACCATCCATACAGATGTCTCCTGATATTCTCCTTTGGTATATTCAGTAAAAGGGAATTCACTACCTCTCTTGGTAATAGGTTCTTCCACGGGTCTGCTGTTAATGTTGGGATTTGGATGGGGTGCTGGTATTATTCAGTTGGACTGTGTTTTCTTGTAAAATAGTATATATACTTAAATACACAGTGCCTTGTAAATTGAAATAAAAGAGAACAGGCCCTGGGTTGTTTCTATGTGATATTGTATCAGGTAGTTGAATAATGCTATTCTGTCTCTTTCAGTTGTCTTTTTTTCAAGGCTAAACATGTTTAAGCTCCTTTGGTTGTTCTTCAGATGGCTCCATTTCTATTCTCCTGATCAATTTCATTACTTTACATGAAATAGTATTTCTGTGAATGTCTATAAGATTCCCACAATTTATCACTGAAGTTGCCCCTTCAGAAGATTAGATTAGATGGCAAGATTCCTCGCTGACAAACCCATGCTGACTTCTGGTAATTTTCACATTTTTTTGTAAATGCTTATAGATTTCCTTACGATCTGCTCTGTAGGCTCTTAAGGTAGTCATGTCATACTGGTCTGTAGCTTGGTGTACCTTCATTTTCTTCTGTTTGATGATTGGTTGAAACTATTCGTTTACCTCTGGGCTGAGGGAAGCTTCTCTTCTAACAAATGGCTACCTGAAGTCTGAGGTGAAAGAATAGGTCTACTGAATATGTTGATGCTACAATCCTATATAAGCAAGCTTTCATAAGGAAACATCCTGAACAAACACAGTAATGCATATTTTGGGGGAAATATATACAGGATGATACTTTTAAGTCCCATTTCATATGTCTATTAATAATTTTGACAGTCCCTAGTGTGTCTCCATGGAGACTTGTAGAAATAAAACTGCCAAAAAAGCCAACACAATTCTAGACTGCATAAACAGAGGGATAGAATCAAGATCATGTGAAGTGTTCATACCACTTTATAATGCCTTGGTAAGGCCACACTTGGAATACTGCATCCAGTTTTGGTCACCATGATGTAAAAAAGATGTGGAGACTAGAAAGAGTGCAGAGAAGAACAACGAAGATGATTAGGGGACTGGAGGCTAAAACACATGAAGAATGGTTGCTTGAATTGGGTATGTCTAGTATGATAAAAAGAAGGACTGGGGTGACATGATAGCAGTGTTCCAATATCTCAGGGGCTGCCACAAAGAAGATGGAATCAATCTACTGTATTCTCCAAAGCACCCAAAGGCAGGACAAGAAGCAATGGGTGGAAACTAATCAAGGAGAGAAGCAACTTAGAACTAAGGAGAAATCTCTTGATGATCAGACCAATTAATCAGCGGAACAACTTGCCTTCAGAAGTTGTGAATGCCCCAACACTCGAAGTTCTTAAGAAGAGATTGGATAACCATTTGTCTGAAATGGTATAGGGTTTCCTGCCTTAGCAGGGGGTTAGGCTAAAATACCTTCAACGTCTGGCCTATTCTATCCTATCCTATCTTATCCCTCTTTCCTATTCTGCATTCTATTCCATTCCATTCCATTCTCAATATTCACTAGCCATTTCACAAGATTTCAAAGTGTCCTTAGGACCTCCTGTGTATGTCTTGTTTGTTTCACAAAAGGTAATCAAAAAGAAAGAAATAAACAGATGAAGCTTTGATAGAACCATTGAAGCCATCAACTTTATTTTTTTTTTACCATATCCACGGACATCTTACTTGCTGTGGTTATGTATTTGTATTCCATTGCAAGATGCAATGGTGGTTTTTAGAATTATGATGACATTAAGATGCCTAGCTGTTTTCTTAAACCTCTTTTCCTGAAATGTCCAACATGATGAAGCCATTGAAACTACCTATGAGTTCTGGGCAAGGCAAAGTAGGACTTCAAGAGATTTGCTCATATACTAGAGTGCTGACTTGTATTTCCTCCCTGGAAGGGGGCACCCGTCATGGTTTCAGATTCAAAAAATAGGCTGATTTTTTAAAAACATACCAATTATCTTGATATACGTTAAGGGATATACACATTATACTGTTCCCCTGCCTATTTTTTATGAGATAAATACATTTGCACTGAAAAAAAATAAGCTGCTATTAATTTTTGGTGGATTTATTTCTCAAATAAATAGGCCTATTTCTCTGGAAAAAATAGGTCAAAATGTTAAAAACTGATTTTAGTGTCAAATGAAAGTCAAACAATTGATTAAAAGTTTAACCAAAACTTACTGAAGGTAGACTTAATCCCTTGTTAAAGAAGATTTCAGTGCCAGCATGTTATGATGCATTGAAAGTAAACATGGCTTTTATTTTGTTAATCTGATGAGTAATACTTGGAGCGCCTTAGTTTATTTTCTGCAACGTAAACTATAGACTTTATGGAAGGAAGAAAGAATGATATGACCTTTTTCACATAAATGGCCACTTTTGGAATTTAATAGAAATATTTAAAACAAAGAAGCAAGTAAAGCACTTAATAAGTATAAAATTAATCTTTTTTGCTATAATTGAGCTTTAATACTGTTTATTTCATATAAGTTGGACTTCTTATTTTCAGTAAAAGTGGTCTGCATTGCAATCTCAAACTTTATTAATAAAATCTTGTTTGCGAAGTGATGTGTATGAATAAAATCTTGTTTATGAAGTTGAAATACTGTACTTATACAACATCCAACAACAAATATATGCCTACTTCAGCCTTGTGCAGTTGGTGACTTTCACATGACTCTAGAATCCAATAATTGTGCAGTGGGAAGAGACCACAAAAATTTTGTCCTCTGACGTTTGCATGTATTAGTTCCATGATCCATAACTCCCAGATCGATGATGAGTGTTTTAATCTAACATATATGGAGAACACTGGATTGGACAAGGCAGGACTTTTGGAATAATCTTGGTCCCCAGCCCCAGCCTTTAATTTTGTTACAGACTGGGCCAGTATTTTAGATTACCAACATGATACTTAATTTTTA